GTATGACACGGCACGAGGGCTTTGGTCACCGTGCTCCCGGAGGCGATGGAAGAGGCCAAGGCTGTTGACTGGCCATGCTGGGCACCTCGTATGGTGCTGCTGCTGAGGACACAGGCATTGAGAACAGTTCTTAGCTCCAGAATGTTCAGGTTTGGAGGAACAATGTCACGTGAATGCCACCACCGGTGATGGTAATGTCGCCATCAGGAGTACCAGGTGTGTGTCTGCCTCCTGGGGCTGTCTGCACTTCCATTATTTGGGCACCTCTTGTCGGTCCTCTAAGACAGACACTGTTATCTATAATTTATAGATGGGGAAGCAGTGTTTATTCCTCTGTGTCTAACTGTGCTGCCTGTGGGCTTAGCTGGGGACAGGGGCTGGAGGCTGGCCAGTGCAGTTTGACCTGTTCTATGCACTGTGGAATCCTGAGGAAATCATGACTCTGCTTGAGCTAAAGTTTTCTCACTTATACAACACAGAAATAGCACCCTCAGAAAGGCCTTCCCTCGCGTTCCCATCTCCATGATCACTTAATCGCTGTTGTCACAGTCTTTATCTCCATCGGAAATGACCTCATGCGTGTGTATTTATCTGAATAGTGTCAGCCTCCCGTGGGAATGTAAATTAGTTCAGATCTTTTTTTAATTAGTGCATGAGGGCTACGCGGGTTAGTGGGCTTCGTTTGAGCAGCCCTGTGCATGCATGTGCCGTACTTTGATCATTTCCTCCCCCTTCCCTTCCTTACCCCGATTTCCCCCTCTTGCACATTTTGAAGGGGAGGAGTGGCGAATGACACGTTTCCACCGCGGCTGTCCTCCTGCGCCAGCCCTCCTCCTCCTCCTCCTCCTCATCCCCTTCCTCTTGTTTAATAATGGTCTCCCTCCCCCTTTCATGTCATCTTGTTTATATATTAGGGTGAATGTGAATCTGGCTATTTTGTTCAACATTATAAGCTCCAGCTCCGTTTTCCTGCACATGACAAGATAGTATTCTCCTTTATGCCTGAGTAATACTCCCCTGTGAGTGTGTACCACATTTCTCGATCCACTCACCTGTGAGTGGGCACCATATTTTGGCTGTTTTGAATCATGCCACAGTATGCGTGGCCACGCAGGTGTCCCTATGATGTGCTCACTTTGATTCCTCGGGTGTACAGGGAGGTAGCTCTGTGTCAGTGTTCTGAGGACCATCCATGCCGAGTCCCTCAGTGGCACTGTAGTTTACATCCCCACCAGCAGTGTGGAGCGGACACCTTTTACCCCACACCCCCCCAGGCTCTGACTGGATTCTGTGTTCTTGGTGACGTCAGTACAGTTTTCTTTTGTACTTCCTTAGTGGCTAAAATCGTTGAACACTTCTTCATATACTTCCTGGTCATTTTGGAAAAAAAAAATTCAGTTCGCTTGCCCATTTATTGACTGGGCTATTTGATGTTTTGGTGTTTTTTGAGTTCTTTATATATTCTAGACACTAATCTTCTGTGAGAAGAGGCATTTACAAGGATTGTCTCCCATTCTTTACTCTGTGAGTGGTTTCCCTTGCTATGCAGAAAATTTTAATTTTTTAGCAGTCCCACTTGCTGGTTAGCGCTGTGCTAACCTGGTTCAGGGAGTCTTTGCCTATGCTTCTGATTTAAGTGTTTACCCTGTGTTTCCTGCCAACAGTTTTAAGATTTTGGGTTTCATATTGAGGTCTTCAATCCATTTTGAGTTGACTTTTGGACAGAGCAAGAGATAGGGATGTAGTTTTAATGTTTTATGTAAGATTTCCTGGCATCATTTATGAAAGGCTATCTTCAATGTGTATTTTTGGCTTCCTTATCCAGAATCAGGTGGCTGTAGTTGTGTGGATTTGCTTTTGCATCCTCTATTGTGCTTCATCGGTCTGTGTGTCTTTCTGAGCCTGTGCCATGCTGTGTTTGTTACTATAGTTTGTAGTATAATTTTAAAATGGGTACTGTGATGCCTCTGGCCTTGCTTTTGTTGCTTAATATTGCTTTGACTATTTTGGGTCTTTTGTGTTTCTATATGAATTTTAGGTTTTATTTTCTAGTTCTGTGAAGAATATCATTGGCATTTTGATGGGATGGCACTGAATATGTAGATTGCTTTGCTAACATGATCATTTTAACAGTATTCTGCTGATCCATCAATATGAACAGTCTTTGCATCCTCTGGTGTCTCCTTTATTTCTTCAGTGTTCTGAAATCTGCATTGTATGTCGTTCAGCTCCTAGTTCAGATTGACCCTTAGATATTTTAGGTCATTTTATTCTTTTGAAGCTAGTGTGGATAAGATTACTTTCTTGATTTCTTTCTCAACTAGTCCATTATCAGTGTATAAAGAAAGGCTATTGATTTTCTGATGTTGATTTTACATCCTGCTATTTTGCTGAATTTGTTTACCAGTTCTAGAAATCTTGTGGTGGAGTCCTTAGGATCTTCTGACACAGGATCACATCATCTGCAAGCAGGATAATTTGATTTCTTCTTTTCCTATTTGTGTCTCTTATTTCTTTCTCTTGCCTAATTGATCTAATTAAAATTTCAAGTATCATATTGGCTGGGGATGGTGAAAAGGGAAATCCTTGGATTCATTCCTGATTTTAGAGGAAAGGCTTTCCCCATCAACAAAGATGCTGGCTCTGGGATGGTTGTATATGGACTTTACTATATTGAGGGGTGATCTTTTAATACTTGATTTCTTCAGGGATTTTTATCATGAAGGGATGTTGAATTTACTCATTGAATCTTACACCAGAAAGAATGTTAATCACCCAGAAATCAAATCCCATACCAAATGCTGGTGAGGCTGCAATGAGAAAGGACCCTTCTACATTGGTGGGAATGTAAACTCGTATATTCTTAATGGAAAAAGGCATTTTTGTGTCAGTTGATATGATTTTATCCTTAATTCTGCTTCTGTTTATATGTATAGACTGAGATATATGTATATATATATATATCTCATAATCTTCACTAATAGACTAAATATTATTGAAGATACAAGGATGGTTCAACATATATATATATATATATATATATATATATATATTTCTGTGGAATAAAGGCAACTCAATTACGATGTGTGATCTTACTGTGTTGTTGAATTAGGTTTGCAAATATTTTATTAAAGATTTTTACGTCTATGTCCATCAAAGATGTTGCCTACAGTTTTTCATTGTGTATCAAGGTGATGCTGGCCCTGTAGAGTGACTTTAGAAGCTTTCTTTCCTTTTATATAATGGAATAGTTTGATGAACATTGATTGTAATTCTTCTTAAAGATCTGGGAAAATTCAGCGGGAAACCCATCTGGTCCTGGGCTTTTCTTTGTGTGGAAACTTTTTTATTACTGCTTTGATCTGCTTGCTTGTTTAGTTTTTTTTACATCTGCTTGGCTCAGTTTTGATAGATTGTAAGTGTCTAGAAATTTTTCCACTTCTAAATTCTCCAATTTATTAAAATATGGGTAACACTCTGGATTTTAGTGGTGTTTATTGTCACATTCCCTTTTTCTCCTCTAATTGTGTTTGAGTTTGTCTCTTCTTTTGATCTGGCAAAGGACTTGTCAGGCTTATCTTTTCACAGAATCCATTCTGTTTCATTGGTCCTGTGTGTTCTGCTTTTAGTATCTACCTCATTAATTTAGCTCTAATGTTTATTACTTCTGTCTTTCTGTTGGGCTTGGTTTGATTTGTCCTTGTTTTTCTAAGACCTTGAAATGTGTCATTAAATTATTTATCCTAGATTTCTCTGGTTTTTTTAAATGTAGGAATTCGTAGCTATAAACTTCCCTGTAGGAGCTGTCTTTGCTGTATCCCATAAAATCTGCTATGTTACATTTCCATTTTCATTTAATTCTAGGAAGTTACAAATTTTCTCCCTGATTTCTTCAATGACCCATGATTATTCAGAAGTGAGTTGTTTAATATTCATTTGTTTACATAACTTGCATGGTTTCTCTTGCTGTTGATTTCTGGTTTCATTCTATCATGATCTGAAAAGATGGGAGAAATGATTTCAGTGTTTGTGTTTGTTAAGCCTTGCCTTATGGCATAATTTGGAGAACAGTCTATGAGGTGCTAAGAGGAATGTGTGATCTGTAGTTGTTTTAGGAAAATTCCATGAATATCCATTATATCCATTTGATCTAGGATGTAGTTTAACACTGATATTTCTCTATTCATGTTTTGGTCTGGATGGCGAATGCATTGGTGAGAGGGGAACTCGTCCACTTTACTGTTGGGACCCATGAGTCCCTTTATGTTGAGTGGTGTTTATTTTATGGAATTGGGTGCCTTGGTGTTTGGCGCGTATTTGTTTATAATTGTTGTATCTTTTTGATGAACTGCTCTCTGTACCTCTATGTAACGGCCTTCTTTGTTTAATTGGACTAATTTTACCTTAATGGAATGTAAATGTCATGGGAGCATGGACTGGGCCTATGCTGGTCACTGCTGTGACCCCAGATTTTGGTTCTGGCACAGAGTAGGCATTCAGAAAGCAAGCTGGTGGATGGGGCATGGTCCACACAACAGCTGAAGAGGATAGGAAGAAAATGACTGCATTTACAGTTAATGTCTGCACAAACAACTTCACTGTGTTCTCTCAGAAAGTAAATAAATCCTTGGGAACTTTGAAGTATATTGCTAAGTTAGGTTAGAGAGGTTTTTTAAAAAAAACTTTTCAGCTATACCGAAGATTTGAAAATAAGTTGAAATGTACCATCCAGTGTGTGGTGATCCGTTTTTGCCTGATGTGGGCTTTGGTGGAGGAGGCAGGGAAGCAGCCACTGCACAAAGGCTGGAGGGCGGAGTCCTGGGCACGTGTGATTAGGGTGCTGGGGTAGAGGACAACCTGAGCCCAGCCCATCGGTGTTTGGCCTGCAAGCTTGTTCCACAGGCGTCTGCCTCAGAGTGAGTGACGTGTCTGTCCATGTCCACCAAAGGCTCCCCAGGCTGCCACTGACCTGTCGTATTATTTTTGGCTTTTTGTTTCAGGATTCTGAGAAACGAACTCCCCTTCACGTGGCTGCATTTCTGGGAGATGCGGAGATCATTGAGCTCCTGATTCTGTCAGGTAAATAACCACAGTACTCAAAAACAGCTGCAGTTAAAAAGTGTTTTTAAAGAGCAGAGGTTGATTTTAGCTCAGGTTTGCAGAGGTTTCAGTCCAAGGTAAGTTGGTCCCAAGGTAGCACTGGCATGTTAGAGGTGCCTGGTGGAGGAGTGCTGTTCACCCTCTGGCAGCCAGGAAACGGAGAGGGGAGGAGCTGGTGAGAAGAACGTACCCTTCTGGGTCTCAGCCCTAGTGACCTGGCTCTTCTGACCAGTATTTGGGAAGGAGCATTTCGGGTCTCAGTCAAACAGTGGTGGCCGTGTTAGACTTGGCTGGTTGTGCTGTGGTCGTGCCCCAGCACACATAGTTGTGTAGTAGTGACATTCATAGCTCACTGGTCCAAGGCTCTTCTTATAGGATGTAAATAAAAAACAATCTTTTCTAGGGGGAAGGGTTCCGCTTTATAGCCCAGGCTGGCCTCAAGCTCATGGTGATCCTTCTGTCTCAGCTTTCTGAGTGCTGGGATTACAGGCATATGTCTTATGGGATCCAATCCCAGCCTCAACTAAATACAAGGTTAAGAAAAATCCCACATAAATGTAGGCTGAAGTGTTTGAGCTTGGTTAATTTTCTCCAAACGAACACCACAAAATCAACCAGCACCCACTGAGAATATGGTTCTACTCCTGGAACCCCTCCATCCCCAGTAACTACCGTAATATCTAGAGCACCAGTCCATCCCTCCACTCTTTGCAGGGAGGAGGTTTCCATTTTAAATAACTTCCTGTGTGAAGGGCTTACTTCTAGGTGGAGATAAGCATCGAACACAGTGAGCTGTGACCAGAGGTGGCAGCTTGTGCCAGGAGTTCAGCTCTCCGATGCAATGGGACCCGGTGGGATTCTCAGACATCCCTTGGGTTCACGAACTCAGCAAGCTGACTTGTTTGGGGACCAGAAAAGTGAAGAACCAATGTTTAGTTGCCTCTTTCACTGGCGGGCTCTGTACCAGCTTTGTATGGTCAGAAGGTGGACAGTGGTAGCCAGGCTGCGCAGATGCTGGTTCAGAGCTTGAGAAGCTCAGTGCTGTGTGGCCATGAGAATCACAGCTGGCATCTGGCCTGGCAGGCTGTGCACCTCCTCCAGCAAGGTCTCCAGGAACATCTGCTCACACACTGCGTTCTCTCACATTTCCAGCATGAGAAAGTCAGTGTATTTTCTTTTTCTTTCTGAAAAATTTTTTATTCTAAAAGAAATTGATCAGTGCAATCCTGTGGAACCAATGTCTATTGCGGAAATTGTTTTCTTATCAAAAGTAAATGGCAAAACCCCTTTAAAATTATTTATTTTTTGAAAACAAGTCATAGGGTCTGCTTTGCTCTGTTGTTCCTGCTGTTGCAAGGAGAACACAGCTTTGTATCTCATCTTTTCCGTCCTCTTCAGTGAGGGATGATCCTTTTTTTTTTTTTTCTGTCATTGAGAGTAACAACTGGCTTCTAGCCTGCAACACGAGAGCCAAGCCTCTGACTGTTAAAATTCTGACATAATTTTGCAACCATATTTGCATTTTCAGTTTCAGAGCTCCCATCAGTCAGGAAGAGAAAACAGAACCCACAGTGATACTCTGTAGCTCTTTTTACCTTTAATGGAATTAGTGTTAGTTACTGTTCATAATCCGAGCTCTAGCCTGGGTCTGTCAGCCGCTGGTCCTGTCCCAGCTACCGCTTTCAGATCCTGAATATAGTTCAGCTAAAGGAGCTTGAGTGGACTTCCTGGGCAGCAGTCACCTCATTCTGACCACCAGGGCTGTGAGAATCATCTGTGACTCTGTCCCCTTGCTGGGGTTATGGCTTCTAAAGAGGGCGCACTTCTGGTGCTGTAACCTTTCTTACCTACGTGAAGCCATGGTTTTGTACCAATGAATTGTGCCCCCAGCCCGAGCCCTGGTTTATCTTTAAAATGATGCTGCACATTATAAAAATGTTTTTTGTCGAGACTGAGGTTCACCATGTTGCCTAGACTGTCTCTAACTCCTGGACTCAAGTGACCCTCCTGCCTCAGCCTCTGGAGTAGCTGGGACCATAGGCATGTGTCATTGCAGCCAGCTAATAACTTCGAATTAGTGCTACTGTCCTGCCTTCTTTATGTCTTGTTTGAGGATCAAATAAGCTAGGGTGAAACACTGAAAATAGCTGGAGCTGGAGCTCAACTGTTACGTAGCCAAAATACTCACTTGGTATCTAAGATTTGTTTCTCGGTGAAAGTTGTGTTAGGAACTGGCATGAAATAGAACATTCAGGAAGGTAATTGAAACATTTAACGAGTGAATTAACCTGGGTTAGTTAACTGGAACCTGGGGAGAGCTGTAGAAGTCGTGACCTTTGGTTACAGCCGCCACAGGTCGACAGAAAGGGAGCCGGGGGACTACCGATCCTACTCTGTGGTCGGTCCTCTGGCCCACTGCTTTCCTGCTAGGGCTTCTCACTGGCCCTTCTGCCCTGGTGCTCAGACTGTCCAGGACCAGTCTGCTGGGCATGCGCAGGGCAGGGTAGAGAAGGAAAAGAGCAGAGTGGATCGGTCTGGACGTCTCCAACACAGCTGCTCAGGCTGCTCACAGCTATTTTGACTTTACCTGAGCTCTAAGCACAGACTCCTGCAGTTGGTTTGGTGCTATAAGCACCCAGACCTTCGTAGGAGCAACATGCTGTAATATTTCCCTACTTTCTTGGTAGAAAGACAGGTTTTTCAAAACACTCAATGTGAGCATCTCACCACCCGCAGCTCTGAGGTTTCAAAAAGCTGGTAGGTTTTCTTTAATTCTGAGCCCCTGATTTTGGCCTTCGAGTCACCATAGCAGCAGCAAGGGCTGCATCCTTCACGCTCTGGAAGCTGCCCTGAAGAAGGCGTGCTAAAGGCTGCATAAGACTCCTGGCGTTTAAAACCTCCAGTTTCCTTTCAGTGCCTGTGAGCAGGAACAGAAGGAGAGTCCTTCGGGTCTGAGATGCTGATGCTGAGTTTGAGACAGCCAGGCTCACGATCCCAAGCTCCTGTCCTGGGTCTGTTCTCCGCAGACTCAGATGCACCTCGCCTTCCTCCCCACCCCAGCCACTTTAGGAAGGACCCGGGCGATGCTTCCTGGGATCCAGGCCCTGACTACTCCAGGGTCTCGATGGTCTTGTTGGCTTCTCCACAGGGCTTCTGGCAAAAGCAGCAGCTTTATTTTTTATATATCTTTAGTCTTAAGAAAAAAATCTTTTGTTTTTAAAAAGGGAAGGGCATAGGGAACTATTAGAGGAATTTAGCAAGAGAAAGAAATGAAGACCTTTTTGAAAAGGACTTTTGAGCTCTCTGAGCCCACAACTTGCAGAAGGGGCTGCGTGTCAAATCCTTAGCACCTTGATTCCCGCAGCAGGAGGGATGGGATCTGCGTGCACTGGGGTCACTTAAAATCCCCTCGTTAGAAGCGGAAGTGGCCACTCTTTGCTCTCCTTAGGTAAACCCACGCTCCTCCAGGGTGCCCCTGCAGAATTAGCTGTAGGAGAAGCCCTGAAGGTCCTGCCTGATGGCCATGCGTACTCCTGGCTCCTTGGACACCCCTGAGCTGAGAAGTGAAGGCCAAGCTGGTGACATCAACCTTGGAGGCAGGATATGGGAGGGTGTTTTTCTGAGCCAGTGGGCATCGTGGAGGCTCCAGATCTTGTGCAGCAGCCCTGGCCCAGGCCACCGAGAATCCTTCCTGCTCATGCATGTGTCCGTTGGGCTGCTCTGAACACTTCGATGCTCCTGGGGCCCACCGCTTGATCTCAGTCACATCTGATGCCATCACAGATTACTCCTCCTGGAGGACCCGGAAAGAGGTTGCTGCTGAGATGTGGAACAGGAAGGGGGCCTTCCAGCCTTTGCCTTGACTTAGAGAACGCAGATCAATGGTCAAGAGCTTCTGGGAGCGACAGTCGTTAAACAGCAAAGGAGACGTGACAGCAGACTGCTGGGCCAAGACATCACCATTGTCCTGTAGGACCACTGATGTCTGGTCACTGCACGGTCAGTAGGATCCCCCCCCCTCCAGACGAGCCGGTACTGAAGCAGGCGTTTGCTGGATGCTCAGGCACCACGCACCGCACCAGGCACCAGGGATCCTGAAATCAGAGTGCACTGCAGTGGCCAGCCCCTGGGAGACTGCCGGTGCCCAGGGACACTGGGACCAGAGTGGAACAACCTGCAGGCTGTGCAAATTCCGAGGCACAGCAGAAGGTGGGAATCCAAGGGGTGCCATGAGGCTCAGCACGGAGTCCACCTCACCCATGGTGACGTAGGAGTGTGCATGCGTGCACGCACTTCAGTGGTTGATGACGCTGTACATCGAGCCACCAGCATCCGTGGCAGTCACTGCTGTGTCTGCCAGGTGGGGCTGAATGGGTCCCATGTCAGCATGGAGATGGAGGCCAGCTGAGCTTGGAATCCAGCCTTTCTCTGCTCCATGCAGCTCACGGCAGCTCGTGGGCTGAGCAGCAGTGACTGGTGATGTGGAGAACACTCGGCTGGCCTTTCCGTAGGAAGAGGCACCCAATCCTGTCCTGGCTACTTTCTTTTTCTTCTCTTCCTCTAGCAGCTGCGGTCTTTTGCTCTCCATTTGCTATGCCGGATGCTCTGCTCCTGAGGGCCTTGCGTTATTCTGTCCTGGGAGCAAGTGGAAGTAGCAGTTCTTTACAGGGTGAAGTAACGTCCTGGTAGATCTGGCTCTAAAGAACCCTTGATGGGTGAGGTCAACGGGACACTGCGTTTTGGAGGCCGGAGTCCTGTGATCTCTACAGGGCCCTGGCGGGCGCCTCTCGCTGGAATTGCGCTGTCTAAAGCAAGGGCTCCATGGGCAGCTTCTCTCCTGTACCCTCTCCTGACCTGCCCGCGGCGTTTGTTTTTCTCTCTGGTCCAGCTCTTGCAGATAAAAATGTAAATGATCAACCACTAGACTGACTGCTAGATGAGTCCAGACAAAATTTGCTTAAGTTTGCAGAGGTTTATTT